CTGCTACAGAGGCCAAAGTGTTCTGAAACTGTACTGGAACCCATCTATTGATGTCAAAAATACTGATGCCACAAGAGCAGGTTTAGCCTGGCCAATGGGTTAGGTATTTTTGTTTGCTTTCCTAAGCCAGACTTCATCAGTTGAGCCTCAAGCAATTCCTGGGTTTCTGTGGTTTTTTTCTGTTTTCTGTGTTTTTTAAGCCTGAAAACAGTAATATTGCCTTTTCAAAACTGGCCTGTAGTGTTGGTTGCTACATATACCTCCTGCTGGGGTACATTGGAGCTGTTGTGCCACCTGGTTTCCCTGGAATCCCTGCAGGCAGGGCACTGGCCCACACCTGTTGGATCACTGGGATAAAACATTGATAAATTCAGTGTCAGCAGGGTCAGATGGTGTCGTTCTGTGTCAAACTGGCCAGTCTGGCTTCCCAGGTAAGAGCAGAGGAGTGCTAGAGGAGGGGGTTTAATACTGAAATACTTACAGCAAGTTGTGGTTCAAGGTTCATCTTACAAATGTGTTTCCTGGTCCTTTCCCCACCTTTCCTCCTCTTGACCATGGTACATGGCTCCTTGCCTGTGACCAGAGCTGCTGTGCACAGCCTGTGTCTGGGGGGTCAGCCAAAGAGCAAGCTTTGGTCACTGTGGTCACTGTGCTGGTACCTCAACCAGGAATGTGGTCAGCCTCCTCCTGCTCCCCCTGTCTCCTTCCCCAGCAGTCTGTCTCATCTCCCACATGGTGCTCTTACTTATTCATGTAGGTTAAAAAAATCCAGGCATCCTATCCTGTTTCTCAAGTCTCAAGAGATGCAGGTATTGTCAAATGATGGACTGTTCTCATGGAAATTTAACTTTTATGTTGGTTTAAGATTCCCACAAAACCAGCAAGTTTAGGACAGAAACTGAACTAGTCTGTTTATTCTTAATAGATCTACCCTGTCATGGGGTTTGAGTTGATAGTGGTTTTGCATCCAGCACACAGGTACAACTCATTCCTGACTTCAATACTTTAAAATTAAAAGAAAGCTGCCCTATACTAGCTGTTTAAGTCCACCTCTTTGGTTTTTGTTCTGTTTTTAAAGGACAAGTTCAAATATCTTTGTTCTTCATCAGCTGCACAGCTAAGTTAACCCTGCCTTAAAAAAAAGTAATTTCTACCCTAAGTAGGAATGAGTACTAGGAGGCAATGCTGAGTTTGGTCAGTGGATGGAATATGAAACACCTTTAATAACCCCTTCCCTCATCACCTTTACATACAAAATAGATGCTAGCAGAGTACGATTTACTGTTACACTGTTGCTAATTTAAATTCTGATATAAAGTACTTACTGTTTCTTTTCCTAAGATGTTACTCTATGAAGTCTGTCCTGCACTGTTCTGTACATAGTAGTGTAAACCAGATTGTCTCTCATAGAGCACCAGTTACCAGAAGCAGCAATGAGACCAAAAACTCATTTTAACTTTCTGTAACCCTGGAGATCCCCTTTTTCTATACACCTTTCAAATGATACTGTATGTGGTGACTGGAATATTTGAAGGCAGAATGGCATCTACCCTCCCAAGTGAGCAAAAGTACTTGTTAACACATTACTCAGTAACAGTTCCTCAACATCTTGTTTAAAAGTAATATTGAAAGTCTTTTGCAGCAAATAATGATTTTTGCTGTACTTTCTGTTACAGACACTTAGTTAGCTAGCACTGAGAGCTGCCTTCAGCCTTCCCATCACTGCAGCTGCCTGAGCAGGGAAATGTGTGCAGACCTGCAGGAAACCAACCACCTCCCCTGGAGCTCTGGAACTGCTGCTGCTTCTAGAGGTTAGACTAAAAAAAATAAATCTTCCTGTAGCCTTGAGTCTAGAATATTACTCTTGGTTCTCTTGAGCTAAACAGCAGACAGTGGTCTCAGGTTTCAAATTAAGTCTTAAAACACTGGATCCATATTTGCATTTAGAATTAGCATTATGAAACTGAACTGGTCAACAAATTATGAGCATAAACCACCAGAGATATTTTTTAAGCTGTTTTAAGGATTCATTATAAAGAAATGTTTCCTTTTCTGTGCCAGATGACACCACCTCATGCTTTTAAATTGAAACCCAACACTCAAACTAACAGTAACACTCCAACATACTTAACAGGCATTAAAAGAAAATACTGCAGAATTTAGATTCCTTATTAAACTCTCAGTGTCTCATCCATCCTTGGGGAGGGGAAGAAACTTCAGTTCTGTACATGTAAAAGCAATTCCCTTTCATGATCCAGGATCCTGCCCTGGTACACTGCAGCAAGGTACTTACCTGGCAGTTCCTCAGTCTCCCTCAGGTCCTGGTCTGCAGGTAGTTGCTCCAGTGCCTCATCCTTCCAGCTGTTGTTTTGGCAGTTTTACCAGAAAAAGGCAGCCCCTGATCAGGTTTACAGAGGTACAAAGCAGCAGTGGCTCATGGCATCTGTCCTTCAGTTGTAGGACTGCAATAAAACAGTCGTATCTGCATAAGCTGCAGGAACTGAGCAATTCCAGAAGTGATTCTCAGTCCAGCACAGTTTCACAGAGAGGTTGCTTAGTCTAGAAAACTGACTTACCTACAAGAAGTCAAAATGTCTGTGAGTCAAGTGCATTTTCTTCCTTGCACACCACTGAAACAGCACCTTGAATGAAACTGTGATGGCTAAATCAGGCCAGCAAAGAGCCTTTGATTCCAAATTTACAAAGCAGCAGCTCACCTGATAGTTGCCAGCAAACTGAATTGTACTGAAGAGTGGAACTTAAATCATTTTCCAAAAGATTACATTTCACTATAAGTAAGTAGCTTCTGGTTTTACAAATGTGCTCGTAATTCCCCTTTCTATTTATTTAGAGATGGTTCTGTGATTATTTTTTTGAACTCTGTACAAACTGATTGTGCTTACTCTGTTGCCTTTGAAAAAAAGAAGTATTTTTTTAAGCCAAATTGTGGTTCTGTAAGAGAATGTTTATGTGTTTAACTTTTCAGTTGCTTTAGGTACATGGTTTTTAAGTGTTAAAACAAAAAATCTGGAGAAATGGTGCCCAGATGCTGCCAAAGTCTTCCTGTGCTTGAAATAAAAAACAGACTAAAAAACTTCTACTGCCCCCACAGATACAAATTACCACACAGTTCATGTAACTCGATTCAACTTTGTTCCATTCAGTAAGAAATAAATGCCAACAACCTCTTTTAGAACCAGAAATTTATTGTAGCTTATAGACTTTCCAAACTGACCTGTTACCAATATACACATCTGAAAAGTTATACCCACAGTGGCTACAAACTGCATCAGGACGTTTACAACCTCTCAGTATTACCATAAAGTCATGATCAGTTTTGGTCTAAAATACAGCAGCTACAGCAACAGTATATGGAAGGATAAGTCTTCTACACATTAACACAGGACAACTGTCAGACATAAGTTAAAAGGTTTCCCAGTTTACTTAAAACTAGCAGTTATATTACCACGTTAAGTAGTCAAAACCATTTCCCCATTTTAGAAATCTAAAATTTTACATAAAAAAACAACCCCCAGACCGGTAAGCGAGTTGTGTGGGTTCTCCTCCCTGCTTCCAGGTCCACCTACTATTGTAAAAGGCACTCTGCAGTCAAGCCTACCCCAGGTCAAACCCACCATTAGGCCCCATCACACGCATCACCAGGTGAGAATAGGTCTGCTCCCAAAATAAAAACTATAGGAACAATCAGATCAATCCTTATCTTTTATCTCTTGGAATTATGACCCTTTATCTCCCACCCTCTGGCTTGGAGCTCCCCCAGCATGCTGGCCCAGTGCAATTTCCCTGCTGTGTCCTGACACCACTGACCAGCCTGTCCTGAGCCCTGTGCTCCCTGCTCAGACCAAGGAGCAAAAAACTGAAACTTTGCTTACCGTGCTGAGGAGTGAGGGGAGTCCTAGTCTCCTGTTACAAGCAAAACAAGTTACTCTTTTTTTTAATCCACCTCCAAACGTAAAAATCAAGTCAGCAGATATTCATTATTCAAGGCTCTGCATAAGACCAAAGAAAGGTAAATAAACAAGACCTGCCTTACAAAAAAACCAGCACTCTGCACCATGGGGTCATAACTTACTTTTCGTACCTTTCAGCTATTTCTTAAGAAAAGTCCTTTGCAATTCCAAGTTACAATTTTGATCAGGAACAACCAAAATCATCTGGACTTGGAATATTATTAATGTGATTCCCAAGGTTTTTCTGGTTGGATGATTTATGCTATAGTTGTTCACCAGCAGGAAAACACAATTACTAAGTGTAAACAAAAGGCATAATACACCAACAGTCCAAGTTACTGTACAAGGGGCTACAGGGAATGAGCAGGAGTGTGTGTAACAGAAAAGGTATCAGCTGTGCCCCAAACCCTCCCACTACCACATTAGAAAAACTGAACAGCCAAAAAAAACCAACAACAAACACAACCCCAAATACCTCTCTATGGAGACTGGTGGCCAAGGTGCACAGGTCTCAGGCTTTCCAGCTTCAGTTCTCAATGTCACAATCAATCAACTAAATGAATAATCCAAATGTCAGCAGTAGAACAGACCATCACTGTTCAGGCAGCCTCACTGTCCTGCACAGGAGCTGCTGTAACACCACAGCCCCAGCACACTCACTGCCCACCAGCCACGTAGTGTTTGTTCCCAATAACTTAAAAGCCCTTATGCCAAGACTTAATTGGAGAAAGAAAAACAACTGTATTGCACAGGGCAGCTGAACCTCTGCTGAGGTTCCTAAAGCCTTTACAATTTCTCACAAGCTTGTCCCCTCTGCAAAAATACAGATTAAAAGAAAATAAAAGAAAAACCAGAGTGGGGCATGAGCAAACATGGCAGTCAAGGCCAAGGACACTGGATCACTGAAACATCTACACTAGAGAACTGTGCCCGTGCTCCTGCTGCAGTACTATGAGACTTGTAATATTTCATGCTGCATGATTTTTTTTTTTTACTTTTAGCATGTTTTAAACCCCCATCCCTGTTTTCACTACCACAAATGACATAATTACATAATTCCAATATATTTACAAAATATTAAAAAGTCTGTTAATCTTCTACATATTAACCTCATTCTGCCACTTTACACATGCACTAATTTGGGGGGAAAAAAAAGTTAAATCAACAGGTTGAAATGAGCAGCTTGACCCTTTGTCAACAAGCAATCTTTGCATCTTTTAGAAAGAGAAGAAGGAACAAAGCCAGGTTTGTTTCACTGAGAAAAAAAAAAAAAAGACAGTTCAGAAATTCATGTGCAATGGCTACAGATCTGTAGAGTCACTGAGCTGAGATGACATGAAGATAAAAGTGCAAGGTGGGTCCTCACAGAGCATAAAAAAAAATATATCCAGTCACTGAGGCATGGCTGAAAGAAAAGAGGTGCTAACTACAGCTCTAGAGACAGCATCAGAACTAGCTGACAAACACAAAAACAGGGTGGCTGTGGGTTCAACCTACTGGCCAGAATGACTCTTTTTTTTTTGATTATTTTTTTTTTAAACACCATGAATCCTTTGGTAACAATGGAGTGTGCGACAGTGGAGTCTTCTAGAGCAGAAACAAGACAAAGGGAACAGCTAGAATCAATAACTGAGGGTAGAGTCATCCCATTCCAGCTGTTGCTGTCTGTTAACATTCTGTTGGTCCTCCTCCTGCTCTCCCTCTTCTTCCTCGCTACTTTCAGACTCTGCACTTGTGATGTCATCTTCTTCTCCATCCTCACTTTCTTCTTCCTCTTCCTCCTCTTCCTCCTCACTGCTATGTTGATCCTCATAAGTCTGTTAAGACAGAAATTAGTATTGATATCATATTGGCCAAAATTCTTATTGTTCATTTGAATTTTGGCCAGAGAAGCTGTGGCTGCCCCGTCCCTGGAAGTGTTCAAGGGCAGGATGGATGGGGCTTGGAGCAACCTGGGCTGGTGGGAGGTGTCCCTGCCCATGCAGGGGGGGTTTGGATCTAGATGATTTTCAAGGTCCCTTCCAACCCAAACCATTCCATGATTCTATGAATTCAGGCACAAGGCACTACAATCAGAAGGACATACTGCAGATTCCTTACTGGTTTTAGAAGTTCACCAGTAATGAGGCAACCAGAAAGGAAAAAGGAAGCAACACTTTTAAAATACCTTTGTAACATTGTAACGTTGCCAACCCTGCTACTCTAAACAAACCAAAAAGGGGGATCCAGCACTTCTATTTGCTGTGATGTACTGAGACACCAACTTTACCTCCATGGGGTTCACAGTGATGGTCAAAGCAGAGTCATCCCAGTCCATCTCGTTTTCCTTCCCAGTGTCCTGGTCACGCATCGTTCTCTGATGCGCTGCTCGGATTCGGAACACTCCCAGAATAATCATAAAAACCAGGAAACTGACACAAACAACAATCACAACAGTAGCTGTACTTGGAACAACTGCAACAAGAAAATAAAAGGAGATGATACTGATATGTAATTCTTTATACAATTCTTATAACTAGTCTTCTATTCCCATCACCTCCAGAGGAAATGGCATCAGCTACAGAGGCCACTTAACAAGTCAGTTGGACAGTAGGAACTAAATCTCAGCTCCTGAAGTACAACACATGGAAAGCAGATTCCACCACACACACAGACTCCGCTCTAAAATGCCTGTTTTTTGACATCCTACACCCACTGCAAATTAATATAATTAAAACAGTCCCACGAGTCATCAAGGGGATGACGCTGCAGTTCTCTCCTCTTTCAGAAGGAATACTGTCCCTGTTCCTCACAGTCCTGTATCTAGGCCTTACAGTCCCCTCAAGACCAGCACCTTCCAATGTACACACGCCACCACCAAAAGCTCTTCTGCTGGCAGATCTATTCCATAGATCTCCAGTAATCCCCTTCTTCCTTCTGGGCAACAGCAGAACAGGACCAAGTCACTGCCTGGACTGATAGTCCAACTCCCTGGTTTAAACTCAAGGAAAAAAAACAACCCACTCTCTGCAACAAGAAGCTTCTGTGACAGTTTTAATACCAGAAAAAAAGAGCTGAACTTCAGCGACTGAGAATTCTTACCTGAGAAGGGGTGAGGGTTGGCCAAGTTGTGCCCAGAGAGATCAACAAACGTGTGGTGCACGGGGTGAACAAACTGTGGCTGTGCAGCGATGTGGTTTGCGTGTTCAGCTGGGTTAGCTGTGTGGATCACATTCACCTGGGAACAAAAAGGAAATGTTACACTCCAGAAATGCAACAGTTTGCTTCTGAAGAGATAGAAAATTTAAAACAACAAAACAAATAATCTATTTCCCAGAGCAGGCATCCTGCTGTCCTTCAGCACAGCAATGGCTCTGGGACAATCTTCTAACCAGTAGCTCCTCACATGTTACACTTTCTTGTCACAAAACCTTTCAGCTTCATAACTCTCAAATCTGTTTGATCTGTTTTACTTAGTCTGGCAGGTTTGTGTACAGACACCAATATCTCAGAATAAAACAGATAAAGCCAATTTATTATCAAATTTGGTAGCCAGTCATCTTCATCCTGGAATCCCTGTACTCTGCTAGGGAGCTGCAGTTCCAGCCTGCCTGTGCCCCTACATAAGCCCTCAGCATCACCAATTTAAGCATCACACAAGCAAAACAGCAAAGGGCTCAGAAGGCTCCTGGGAAGCATCCCAGAAGTTGTACGTGAAGGCCACCCAAAGTCTCTGGTAGCACTACTCTTACTTCATGTGCTAATCTTTTGCTAAATTAATAGGCTGTCTTTCCAGCTCAAACTTTTTGTTTTCAGACTCCATCACTTGTGCTATTTCATCTACAACACAAAAGTCTCACCTCTGGTTAGGCAGCCTTTAAAGCTGCAATGTAGGATTAAGAACTATATATAAAATACAGCCTGAAATGCACATGTTTCTTAATATTTACTGACATAAATCTAAATCAATAATTGATCAATTATCTATCATTTGAGGCAACAACTTCCCTCCCTCCTCCTAGCCACCCATGCTCTAAAACCTGTCAAGAGATCAGCTCAGCTCACAAACCTCCACTTTAAACTCGTTGCTGACGTAACGTCCATTAAGCTCAGAACAGACTAATTTGAACTTCCTGTCAAAGATGTTTCAGAGAATTGAAAAGCAGTGGTGTGGCTGGAACTGTCAGGTTCATTCAAGAGCTGGTGGAGATGAACTGTTCTTTACTAAGACACATCTGGATACTTTATTTACTGGTGTTTTGGGTGATGCCTGGGACACTCTGCAGTGTAAGCAATGCCTTTCACGTAGGCCTGTACATCTTCTCTGCCTCCCTTCCCCAGTGGAACAGAGCCACCACTTTGGGGCATCACCTGAGCTTCACTGGGTAGGGAGGCAGGGCCAGAGCAGCGTGTGTGCAGATGAGCAGTGGGTTGGGGTGGTTACAGAGCCCAGCACTGCTGCAATCCTAACAGCTGGGAAACAAGACTGTTGAGTCACACTGGCCCAGCAGGTCTGTGGCAGCACCAGGCGTGTGCCAGTTTCTTTTGTGTATCAAATGCAAAACTTCTTCATAACTAGCCATAGTGTCAACCCCTGTGGAGAGAAATAAACAGGGAAAAACAATTAACTTTGCAGAAGACCAGTGCAACATCACAGAGGTGACAAATATTCCTGCTCCCTTCCTCCACCTCAGTTCTCTTGGCTTTTCAGTTAGCAGAAGAAAGGTACCACCAGACACAGACACTTGTGGCTCCACTGAAACTCTGTGGATTGATTTTGTGATAAACTCCCAGGCCCAGTTAGAATCCAAAAATCCCTTTAAAGATTTTTTAATACATTCAGATATTCTCAACCTAAAATATACAGGAATGATGCATGCTTCTAGGCTCTGGGCTATCTGTGCAAGGAACAAGCCTTTTTCTCGAGCAAACTGTATTTCATTTCTACAGTCCAGAGGTGACCTGCAATTTGGGACATCACGGAACAAGAGAGGAGGTTCTAGAATGATATATTTTCTAGAATCATATCCACAAAATAGCTGTAACTCCTCTGAGCTTGACATTCTAGTAAAAAATTAAGTATCTGGAGTGTTGCCAGCCATCTCTCCAGCACACTGTTCCCTTCTGTCTCCAGCCCTTCATACATGAAGACCAGCAACAACAACCCCTACCTGTGATTATCATGCCCAGGTTGGAGCTGCTCATCTCGATGCCCTTCTGCTGTAACCGTGTCATGTCAATCTCCAGGCTTTCTTGTTCCTGATTGAGTTCCTCTCCAAGCACTGTCACCTCACATGTGTCCAGGTTATGCATGATCTCTTCAGACACCAAAGACTCTTGGACTAAAAAGCAGAGAAAAACCCAAACAGGTAAGCAGAAACAAAGGTGACAAGAGCCCAGGAGTTATAAATGTCACATACAAAACTCAACTCTTCTTCCAGACTAGTATTAAGATCTGGATATGACGAAAGCAAATATTCTTGAAGTAATGATTTTTAAAAACCAAACCCAAAACACAAACAAGGGATATTTAGATAAAGGTAACATCCTGGGCTTACTACCATTTCCAGCTGTATTTTTGTTAGCCCAGAGCAGAGTGGCTACACTTTCTCGCAAGATAGATAGACTTCCTTTTCCCTTACTAGTATTTAAAGAGAAATCCACATCTCTCTCCCAGAGGAAGATCCTGCAATGTGGTCACTGGAAGAGGTGAGGGTGGGCAACAGTCCCAAGCAGAGCAGGATGTTACCTGTGGGATCCTCATCTCCATCCCCCTCTGGCTCCACCTCCCGGGTGATAGTGCTGATGATGCGAAGCTCAGGGAAGAGGGCAACACCCTCGGGACTCTCAAACTCTGAAGCTGAGCGGGCAAAATGGTTGATGCCACTGAGGCTGATCTTTGGTTCCTCTGGTTGCAAGACCATGACATACCCCTCCACAGAAGGAATGGAGACACAGGCCTCTTCGTTGAAACACCTACAAGATACAGAAGTGGTTTTGCAGTCAAGGAGGCTACTTCAGAGGGAGGCACAATTACACAGAGTAATTGCTTTATAAATTTTTTAAAAGCTCTGCCTCAGACCCAAGAGTCTTAGATAAATTCATCAGCTGCCCTGGAAAGTAACAATTCCCCACCAAGGGAGCAATCTTACAATTAATTTTTACTTACAGTTAACACTTGGCCCCATTTCCTGTGCTCTAACAGGCACAGAGAACACCTTCAGTGCAGGGGGTGGCACTGCAGGCAGACGCACAGCACAACCGTGCAGCCAGTTCCTCCCTGTCTTACACACTCCTCACTACACCCTCAGAAAGAGAAGAGCACTGGTGCAGAAAACATTTGCTGTATTCAGGTGTGTGATGGTTCCACAGCAGGACTCTGTGTTTATCACAACTCAGATACAGGAACATTGTTCCAGGCCTCAGCACCACCCTGCAGAGATGCAGCATTTCAGCACTAGGACATACTTGACCACACTGGTGATTTTAAGCCTCCGAATCCCAGGTGTTGGGAACTGCCGGGAGTTCAGGTAGGAAATGTGCTGCATGGCCTTGTCAACCCTGTCAATATCATCCCCTTCCAAAGTCAGTGTTGATTGACTTGGGTTCATGTGGATCTGAAACAAGGAAATAAAATAATAGTCAAACAGGAATAGGATCTGGTATTTAAAACTGAAGTTCAGCACTGCTCAGCCTGGTAAATACTAGGATAATTACATTCAAAGCAATAAGACAATTATTTATTGGCCTTGTAGGACAGCCTAACTGCCCTATTCACTTCCTTTTTCCAAATATATTTAGTGCTTTAATCTTTAAGAAAAAACCTAGGCACAAAAGTCCTGACGTGAAGATTCCAGTAATAAAGAGAGACAGCTAACATGAAGGAGAAATTGATCTCTGTTCATATAACCTTGCTACTAAAAAAAATGCACACAAGGTTGTCCGGTTCCACGAAGCTGCTTGTTAAGAATATCTTACTAGCATTAGACAACCTGGCACAGCTGGTATAACTGAGAGGCTTCCAAAGATGGAATTTCTCTTCAAGACTTGAAGAGAACACAATAACTTCCATTCTTAAACTCCACTAAGACCATGTCTATACATGAAAGATTTCCTAGTTTCTGTGTAATTTTACTGCAAAACGTCCCAGTCTTAGCCTGTTTTATTTGGGACACCCCTACTAACTCTGCCAGCAAAGCTGCTCCTGTTATCAAGCAAAGCAACACACAGGCTCTCTTGGTCTGTGTGCACTTTACCTTCACTCCTTTGCCAACACCATCAGCCATTTGCAGATCCAGTCCCTCCTTGCAGGTGTACAGACAATCTATCACCTTCTTGTTTTCCAGTTTTCCAGAACGAATCATCAAACCTGCCAGATTGCCTCGGAAAAACTGAGCCATCTGGAGTTCACCACCTTCACAAAGGGAGGAAGGAAATACAAATCTTTGTACGTTTTGATTCTTTAAACTTTTTGTCTTTTGTAAAACAACAAATATGCCTTCTGGTACCACAAAGTATGATGTACATGCAGGTTAGTTTTTATCCATTCTGGGTGTTAACCTTGTGATTATGTTCAAGCATAAAGAAAGAATTAAACAGTTCACCATGCACATGGCCCCAAAGGAGTGTGGCCATCCTGAACTGTGAAACTGAGGCTGACATTTCCATAACAAACACTGCCAAAGAAATGACCCATACAGCGAGGTGGTGCTGAGGAATGAAAGGCAGAACCAATGAAATGAACTGTGGAACCTCAAGCTTTGTGTTGAGGTAACACCTCCTACTAGTTAGTTCTCTACAAAATGGGCACTGTCCTTTAGGAGAGAACACACCTAAACCCATCACCTCTCTACATTCAAAGCATAGAAAGAAACTTCACAAAGTGATTCAGCTCATTGTGAGAAAGGTGTCTAAGAGTTAACTGCTCCCCTCTAAAGGTTCCTTCTTCTCTATGTGATCTCTAATGAGCAGTTTAAACTCAGGTAACTCATTTTTAGGTATCTGAGTTAAGTTCAATGAACTGCAACTCAATAAGCCCCTTATTGCTTAGGATTTTTTGCAGATGACATCACAATGATCACTCAGTCCATCCTGCTAAATAACAGGGGCCACAGAACTCCACCTGGAAATCTGTATTTCAAGGCCATCACTTACTAAACTATCAGATTTTTAGAAAGATGCTTAAGCCCATTTTAAAGATTTTAAGTGAGAAAAGATCCTGGGCATAACTCAGTAACATTTTCAGGAGTGAATTGTCCTGTTTACAAACTATATAATTTCCAGATTAGGGCTGTACAGCTCCAGCTTCTAGCCCCTTCCTTGGCCAAATTAAAATGTGATGCACAGCCAGAAACCTCTTGTCAATTATATCCAGAGCATTCCAGGACTTCCTGTACTTTACAGAAAGAGTACACATCTTGAATACACTTCTAGAAATACACACTGATTTTAAGTGTCTCAACTCTAGACACAAAATCCACCAGATTATTTATTTCTAATCAAATAAAACCCTGTAGCCAACCTGCAATACCGGGTAGCCCAACCTTTTACACTTATTCACTGTAATTAGAACGTTATATCAATTTCTGATCACGTGAGTATCCACTGTGAATTACAGGTCTCTCAGTTTTATACCAGCAACCTGATCTAAATGATCAGTCTTGCTTTGAGTGGAGAGCAGAGCTACTCACTTCCAGAGGTCCCTCCTACCTACTGAGTCATTCTATAACATGCACACACACCTACATACATAAATTTATATAGGATGAGGTACATTTTTGTTTCAGCAAAACTGGATTAAAGAAATTATAGCTGGTATTTTACATCAGCAACATTTTACACCACTTCACTGCAATCACAATGCTCACTAAGTTGTATAGGGATGTGCATTTGGGTGCAACCAATAAAAAAAAAACAACAAAAAAAAAACACCCCAACACATCAAAAAAATAGAAAGAAAGCAAAAAAAAATCAGCTGATGAAGCTCTGGAAATAGAAGCACAATGAAGAAACAAGCCTAGGAGAGGATTATGTGAAGGTCAATGGCCCGAATGCGATGCCTGCAGTTCATGCTGTGTGCAAGATGAAGCAAATGTCTTGGCTTAAAAATGAAACAGAACAGTAGGGAAAAAACTCCAGCAACCTGCAGAGGTCTCAGGCACAGTTTCATTGTCATTTTCATTTCCTGTATATTCTGTAGAAAAGCAAGACAAAGAATAGGACAACAGGGAAAGGACCAAGTAGTTACAATTTGGCAAACTCTCTCATCACAGACAATACACAGCAGCACTGCCCCCAAAATCTCCTTGTACTCGACCTAGCTTCTCAAGGATGAGGAGTTCTCTGAACCACTGGGAGCTGCAATGCAGGGAAGAAGCATTACTGCTGTTACCAGAACATGACACTCATGGCAAGACAACCTGAAGGGCTGCAGTGAAAACAGTCCCACTGGAGAACACTCCAACCACCATCCCCTATCAGAAATGAGACACAGGTCTATCAACTGCCTCCATTTATTTTCTCCCAACTACTAACGGAGAAATGAAGGTGAGATCCAGCCTTGATCAGCAAATCACCAAAAGGTATTAAATGCTGATCAAAAGCAGCCACTACCAACACAGATTGTTTTATCATAGTGATAGTATCATGTGGGTGAAGAAGTCAATTTATCAGATTGAAGTGTCTGGGAGGGGAAGCACCAGAAATGAAAAACAGCTTTTAATCTTTCAAAAGAAACATTAGAAGAACTTTTTCAAAAGCATAAAATCTCTCTCTCCTTATAGGTGAGCTATATATAGAACTCAGAGCAGCCTGATTTATTCTACAATCTTGGTAAGACACAGACAACTGCCTTAAGCACTGAATTCACTCTTTCTCTGTGTTTGAAGCCCCTAAAAATCAGGATTTGGAGAAATTTAAAAGAGGCAGCACCTCAAGTTCTTGTATTCCAGACTTTTAATGCTCCTGTTTCAGTCTGCTGTCATTAACAAGAAAACTCACATCAAAAGAAATTAAGTCATATAATGGTGGCAGTATGAAAGCACAAGAGCTTATGAACTAAATATATATGCTTTTGTTATGGTGCAGAACATATGTGGAAGCCATTATACAATCCACAAACTTAGCTGGAACAGCTTCCAAGCTCCAGTTTCTTGAAAAGCAGCCACTAGAGCTTCCCTTTGAGCCAGAAGAGATAGTTGACTCAAAGGAAGGGACAGAGGCAACAATTTAGCACTGAAGTAACATTAAAACTGAAAGACAGTGAACCTGTCACAAATAGTAAATTTGAGGGAGGGGATATTTTGGTAATTTTACCTTCATTCACACTTTGAAGTCGTAAAACTCAGAGAGAAGAGACACATTGTAACACAGAAGACTTATTTTGATGAAACTATCTCAAAGCTTCACATTTATCATTCATTCACAAGCTACTTCCTTGCACTGTTGCAGGCTGCAACTGCAGCCCATGTTCTGAACTACCCCAGAACAGCAACCATTGAACACTGTTTGCTCTCTGACCAAAGAGATCAGCTTTATACCAGTTAGGGTGTAATTTAATCAGCAAACAAACATTTCAGTCGAGGACTGTAAAGCAAGAGCTTTGTTACAAAGATCTCTGGTCATCAGACTCTGTGTTCAGATGCAGTCTTCTTTTTGTCCAGCTTTGAGGAGTAGATTTCACATGTACTAAAAGCACCTGAATCAGCATTTCCCAGCTTGCCCAATACCATCTTTTAAACCATAGTCTATATACAATAAAGCAGATGTTTTCTAAATGTATTTTTATAAGCAGAAATGGTAAAAAAACCAAGAGACAGCATCACTGTGTTGCTTAGCTGAATTGTCTGTTGGTCATGCTTCCATTTATAAGAACACTATTTCTACAATATGCTTTTCAACCTACTTAAAAATAAGTGTTCTGCTTAGTAATAATCTGAAGTATGAGATGTACTCTTACAACTGTTATTAAAAATAAGACATTTAGATTTCCATGGTTACCACAAAGATCTCTTTACTGCAATGCTGCTTGGTGAGTAGCTTCATATTTCATACCCACCTGCAGCCAATGAGCAAAAAGACACTCATGAAAAGAATGACTAAGAGGAAATAGGTGATGCTATCATCTACAAAAGACAAAACAAATTATCTTTCACACACTAAAAAAGATTTGCTATGTACTTCCAGGCTAACCCCAAAGATTTAATAAATAAATTAAAAAACTAAAAGCATTAACAATTGCAAATAGTTACCTTGCCAACATGCTCCAACTACCAGCTGTGTTTCTATCTTTGAAGGATGGAGTGGGTAATCCTCAGTCACTGGGAAAGGATCATAGGAAACCCCATCTACATACAGAGTCACTGTAGGGAATTCCACATTGAGGACATAGTGATGCCACTCCTTGTCACACACCTGAGGAAACAAAGTTTGGAAAATTCAACTTTAAATTTGGTTTTTTTTTTCATAACAGTTGAATAACTGATCTGAGGCACGTTTTGCATATAACACATGCAGACACACCACCAAGCTCTAAGCCTGTACAGACACACTGTATGTTGCACAGACATGGCAGGCAGCTGAAGAAAGCAAAGCATAAGTGGTTTCTTTTCTTCTATTGCCAATATCAGAAGCTGCACATACTCAAATTCCTTTAATTTTTATACCAACAACAGTATATTTCAATTGAAAAATACATCTCTAAGGCAAAGTACCGTCTGAAATACTGCTGTAATACAACACTGCTTGACAAAGGACCTGCTGAGAGGTACTGTTTAGAGAAAAACATAACCATTTTGAACAAGAAGCAGAAAGTACCTGCAACTCTCAGAGGCCTATTCACTCTCTTTTTGTGAAGTAAAATCTAATTAAGAAAACTGATTCATAGCTACTGCTCACTATGTGTGAAAAGTCACAAGTTTTATTTCAGTGCATAAAAGGATTAAGAAGATAAGTTCTTCTGTTATCCTCTTAACACTTTGATCTGCAAAAATGTTGCATGCTCAGAAATACTTTAATGCTATAAACAAACTGGAGTAGTTCCTGTTTTCTCACGCATGTTACCTGACAAGGTACTTGGGAAGTTAACTGACAACACAGCTACAAGACTGACATTGTATTTTGACATATACATTCACATTTTACTACCTTTCAGGACAATGACTTGTACTTTATTTCATTAATACTCCATTCAAGATGAAAAGGTACAGCTGAACCTGTCTCTGACACTTGATCACAGTCCAAGTATTTGGTTCTATAAAACACAGCATCAGTCTGGAGTTGCAAAAAGTATTCATTAATAATCATCTTAGCAAGAAGCTTGGTCTCCGATGGTTTTCACTGCATTCTAACCTCCTACCAACTGTCCTTCCAAACTTACTTGATTAAGTTTCCAGTGAAACTCAGCAGGTTTGTATGTTTTTCCCTCTGAAGGGTCTTGGCGGAAGAGGAAAACCAGCCGGCAGTTGTGGATGTAGAGCGTGTAGTGGTGCCGGTTCATATCTGCACAAGAGCTTTAGTTAACACTGCTGTGCTCTGCAAACCAGAACAACTCCACAAAACTCACGTGTTCTGTCATTTCATACATAAACCACCAGTAACTGATAGGAAGAAACAAGTATAGAATCAGGGGAATGAGAAACATTTGTAAGGGTAGTTGGGGCAAACATTCTTGAACAACCCATGAGTAACAAACTCACTGGACAATTGACAGGCGCGTCTGTGTCCAACCTAAACCAAGGCACAGGGCTGAAGACTCACAGAGATAAACCTCTCAGCAGCAGAAAAAAAGCTGTATTTGCAAATAGAAGAGCTGTTTTGTTCCAAATTAGTAATTTATACCACAGCTAATTAGTGTTTTGGAACATGTACACATGGTGGTAGGTGGATATGCTTTCCTAAAAGAAAGCTCTATAGTCATAGCTCTAAAGGACATTTAAGATAAATACAAAGGTGAGATGGTAGAGAAACAGATGAGAATAAGGAAAAAACCCCACATTTTAGTCCTATTGCCTGCTCCATGGAGTGGGTAAGTCAAGAAATGAGGGAATGAAAAAAAATACCAGTATGATGTCAATCTTCCAGCCTGACAGCATTAAATCTGACTGTATTGTTTCAGTGCAATATATTCTGAATTGCCTCTCTCCAACAAACCTAGTTCCAGTCTTTCAATATTGTATAATGATAACTATACTACCAGAAACTACCTATCTCAAAAATTTTATAGTTAGGTCAAACCAGGGAATAAAAAAGGAAAAAGATTGTTTTGAAGGTCAGCTTCCCATGTACTTGGAAACAGAAGAATTGTATTTTGAAGTTTGCCTTTTTTTTCCAGCTCACTTACTTTGACGAATCCAAAGTTTTCTTTTTCATTAATAGGAAGGGGTGAAGGTAGGGGAAAGAGGACAATATTTGTACCCAGTTCTAAATGACAGTGACTTTTCTCCTGTTCAATTAAATGCTTTTAGAACATTACAAATACTGTTAAAATGTTCTTATTTTCAAACATAATTCAATTAAGCTGAGGGCTGCTGAGTTTGCTCTACATTCAGGACAGTTTCCTTTGAAAAATGTACCAGCATTTTAAATAAAATCTCTTTCTAATATGCTGAATAAATCCACTGCTCCAACTAACAAAGACAAGAATTCTTTAATTCTTTTACCCCCCCATTAGACAGCAATTAAGGAAAGAGGGTTATTAGATTTCCTTCTTATTAATAGCATCTTCAAAATGCTTGTGTCTGTAGCATTCAGAGACTGAAATTAGACACAGGGTGAAAAAAAAACTTCATCACTGGGAAAAGAGGAAATTATCTTATCCTAGAAAAAATAAGATACGTAGCAAGAGCTGTTACTAAACCTGATATATATATATATATATTAATTATTTTGGGCAGCACCAACAAGGCTTTGGAGATGCAAAATCAAGACTGCATTGCCAGAATACGTTATCTGCCAGAGCAAAAAGAAATGCATAATATAAACTGAAAGAGAAAAATAAGGCTGCTTAATCTGAAACTGAAACTAGATAATCAATCCAAGGCCACACCTCTATAGGTAAGCACAATAAAGAGCAACTTCTTCAGCCCACTTCAGTTCCAAGAAAAACCTAACCTAGAGAAAAAAACTTCAGTTTCTCACATATACTGCCACAGCTCAGAAAAACAACAACCAATAATAAGACTGCTTATATTTGAAGTGTTGACAAACCTGTCTTGTCTGAATTGCACAGAATTGTCTCTTTCTCTTTGGTCCCAGGCCCATGTCTCATCCATACTGAAATCATGAAGGGCTCTTTCAGATTGACTGTGACAACACCATCTGGAATCTTCACAGCTTGTGTGCCATTAAATTCAAAGACTTGGTCACTGTCATGACCATTATCAGTAGGAAGTCCTATTGTCCAGTTAGCAGCACTACTTGGAGGGGGAAGCAGCTCAATTGTGCCAGAAGAAGCACCTACAATAAAAACACTCACATGAAAAAACAAGACACTAGAAAGATCACAGCTAGTTTCACAGCAAATTGTTTTTCTGGGTACCAATTTTTCAGCACCAACTGCCAGCAGTACACACTTGCCATCATACAAAAGCAATTTTTCTTTTAAATAAGGTGACACTAATAATAGACATTTAATATCACTATGATTTCTATACATTTATTTTCTGGGTAGACAACTAATCTCACTGAAATTGTCTTGCTTACTATCTCTCCAGCTGTAGAACCTTAATTTGCCTCTATCTTAGGAACATTAATACCAATTGTCCCTCAGGCCCACGAACATGATACTGTATTAGTTGCAAGACTAACATCCATGCAGTTGGAGAAGGCCACATAAGCAAAGGATTCTTGACTACAAAGGATCCATAAACTTTTCATAAGCCCTTTAACTGCAGCCCTTTATTCCCAGAGCAAGCACAGTTTACATTTAAGTGATGCAAATAAACTATTTTTTTCAAACTACACTTTTTTGGTTTTTGTATCTACTTTTTCACCATATATTTCTCACATTGCATCCTTTACATCCATCATGCTCCAAAAACACAGAGAGGCTTTAATGGCCATTCTGCATGTGTAACATCCTTTCAGCTCCTGAACATGAATCCCATGTAAGGGAAATTATCAGTCTATATAAGCTAGTGGAGAGGCAGAAATAAGGGATTCTTTATTGCATTTGAGACTTATTTTAAAAGCCACTTTCAGCCAGTTTCATGCTTTTTATTGCCTGCTAGGCAAAAACTGGAGAAAACTTCATTAAGTCCATATTCACTCACTCATTTGTAGTCTAACATAATATTTGAAGAAAAAATATTTATCAAGACCATTTTATTTTAACAGAAACATTCTTACCACAGAGTCTGTGAATGGATTTCTCAGAGTAGGTGTCTCTATCACAGCCTTTACCAATATGGTTGGTTTCCAGTTCAACTGTTGCTTCAATGGAGGTTATTGGCTCATCACAGGTTTCCAAACGCATCCCAGGGAAGAGAGCTAAGGAACCAGTTCCAGGCTCATATTCAATTCTTTTGCTCCAACCTGTATATTTATCCAAAGAAACAGTGTTTAAAATCTCTCATGTTTGACTGAACATACTGGCAAATGCTAAGAGCAGAAAGGAATGAGATCAAACCAACCTTGCCAGCCAGGCTTGCACGTAGGCTTAATGCTAATTTTAACCAAGACATCCTCAGCAGCTCTCTTCTTCCCACAGTCATACGCCGTTACTGTCAGTTTATACTGATGTTCTTTACCATAGTTTAATTTTTCTGTGTTTTTTATATAACCTGACACACAAGAAATTAAAAAAAAATAAAGCAACAATTAGACCACAGTATCTACTCACTTCTCAGGGTCACTGCCACATTTAATGCATCCAAGCACCACCTGTGCACTTCATACAGGTACCAAGACTTTAACAGACACAACTGCAGGTGAATTAGCTCCTCACTTCTGAGTTTTCAATGCCAGGCATCAGGGCCAGACCCTTAGGAATGACATCAATTCAGAGATACACAGAACAGCAGCCATATACTTACCGGGCTCTTTGTAGCATATTCTAGCACTCAAAATGAAACTGTTCAGAGGTGGTAACTGATACAGAAGTTGCTTGACATGTGCCAGGATTTTCTACCTTTTTTTCTTTTTAATTTGCATACCCATGAAAATTGTCCACGGACCATGTGGATCCCCAAAAATCTCAAACTAGAGCCCATTAAAAACTCCCATGCTTTGCTTAATCAGCTTGACCTTCCAGAAGTAATCTAAAGGGTTCACAGATCATCAGCAGAAAAAAATTACCTAAACAAATGACTACACTTCAAAACCAGTAACTATGATACTGCAATCTCCAGAGGTACATATGAGCATCTCAAATGTGACAAGCACACAATGGAATCCCATTTTTGAAAGCAAGTTAGCAAAACCTAGCCTAATACAGAATAGAAAACTAGGGGTGAAAAGAAATCTTGCTAAGAGCTGGTTTAAAACATAAAGCAGCTACCATATTTCCTTTATTTGAAAAGCATTTTACAAAAAACAACATACTTGCAGCATGACCATCTGCTCCCTGCATCAGTAGACAGCACATGGTATTGGCACTGAAAGACACCTCACTCCTCATTATCGATTCAAACTGCTGAAGTGAGCACATGCATGTAATGATGTTGTAAGGAAGGGGCTAAAACAGGGTTCTGTAGTTTTATGCTGTCCAGTTGGAAGCCCTACTCCTAGGACAGCCAAGTACAGTAATTCCCACTCCATTTTGCATCATATTCTTACCATCTTTGTCAATAGCAAAAGGTACATCCGGAGTTACAATTTCGTAACTGCAAATCTGGCTGAACTGAGGTGAACAATCTGCATCCACTGCTTCCACTTTCAGGATGTTGTCATACCTCTTCCCTTCAATTACTGTTGCCTTATAGGACTTCTCTTTGAACACAGGAGCATACTCATTAACATCATTCACCTGAATATGAACTGTTGCTCTGGAAAGAAAACAGAAAGGTGAGTTTACTAAATATTCCAAAACTCCCATTCATGCAAGGACTGTGATGAAACAGATGAAGCTATCTATCCTTCCAGATTTAAGCTCCCTGAAAGAAGTGACCAATGACTAATAACTATCAATCTCATCCACTCTAACTAGGAAAGCAGTAGATATTTTTCCTAAATGTTGTTACATAATTCAGTTTAGTTTTAGATTACTACTTACTATTGCTGTTTATTTGCAAATAAAATTCAAACCCTCGTATTACAACTATTAAATTGCTGCCATTTTACAGAAATATAACAAAATACAGCTGTAACAAAATAGGCTTTTACTTCTGTTAAAACAGGACAATCCTGCAAGTGCTTTCCTGCTGTCAGAGTATTTGATGTAAACACCCAATTTTTATTCCATGTGAACAAGAATGACAGTTGAGACTGCTCTTAGGCTAAGAGCTCAGTCAGGTGCATCTGATAAGCTTTTTTTTGGTAATACAGTACTGAGCTGTGTAAGTCAGTAAAAACTGGCTTGTTTCTTGCATGTAGGAATGAGAAACCAGGCAATGTACATGGAAGGAACACAGAAGTGGAAGATACACTTCAGCAGATCATACAGCTATTTTTTTTTCCTGCTGATCAGTGATTCAAGTTTATACAGAATAGGAAATTAATGCAGTTTCTGTCAGTGACCAAGAATGTAAATGGATGTCAGATTCAATCACTAGTCTTTCCATGAAAGAAAAGTTTTCTAATGCTTATGCTAAAAAATAAGTCTTTGAGGTATTATTTTATCCTGTGTTGAACAAATGCCACCAAAAATGACCTTCTGTGCCATACATGCTTCATGCTCCTGACTTTAAGAGCTTAACTCCAAGGTGGTTAAAAGCCACAACGAAAACAGTGGTTTGGAGGCAGAGGTCTTAGAAAACCATAATTTTGCTGTGGGGAAAGAAGAGTTGCAGTGCAGGCACCTAGATCTGTACTGGTTCATTACACAGCCATGAATCTGGATAACCATAATTTTCACTAGACCCATCAGAATAAAATCTATGTCTCAATTAAGCAACACAGGTAGAAAAATACAGTAAGTTCTACAGTGAAGAGAAGGAACTATATACACTATCAAGCTGAACAAAGAATGTAATTGCAGGCAACCCAACAAAACATTTGTTGCCATCTTTCTCTTTGAAATCTTTCTTCAAAAGACAAACTGAATATCAAATAGAGTCTAAGGGCATATCCAATTCCCTTAAGTGTAATCCTTAAAGAGACAACTTTCTGCTGCCTAGTTGAAGCACACAGCTCCAGAGTAACAAGGCTGTATTTGTCACCAAGATAAGTGCTTCCAGTCTATTCCTCATCTTATTTATGGCCTTCTTTGCCTTACACAAACAGTAATCCATCACATGCTCTGCAGATGTTTACACCAGGGTATTAAATCTCAAGTGGATTTTCCAGAGAGCACTTTATATTGTGGTTTCTTCTTTAGATAAAGACTGGCTAAAGATTGCTTTGATCCCATTCTTTAATCTAGGCAGAAATTAATCTTGGGCTATTGATCTTGCTTTTTTGGTGAGGCTGCCTGGAAACTAAAGCAACATGTGTCTGTTTCTGTTGTGTCAAGTTTAATATAGATTGACTTCTTGAATAATTTTTTCAGTTTCAGAAACTGAATTCTGAAAAAATGTCTCAAGCTTGGACTTTGCAAACTGTCAATATCAACTCAAGCCAGATTTTAACTAACTCAACAGTTTTCCTGCTGTATTCCCACACTATTTTCTAATATAAATTCAGAGACATCAAGGGATTAAGTAGTATCATCTAGAATACAGCTAAAGGGGTGTCAAAACATGGCCATTTTGCTTCTATTAATATTATCATTATATCAAAGTCTTCCAGTATTAACACTTGGTTTGCGTTTACTCTGAACACACTGACCATAAATCACCACGAGCATGAGTCCACTTGAAACCAAACTTCCCCTCAGCCCACCACAGATTTACTTACTTGTGGGATTTTTTTGCATTGGCTCCATCTGGTCCTTTCCCGCAGTCATAGGCCTGGATGGTGAAGGTGTAATCCTTCTGCAGTTCACAGTCCAGCTTCTCTTTAGAGCGTATGATTCCCTCACCAGTGGATTTATCCACTACCACTGCTTCAAAGGGAACATTCTGCCCGTGAATTTTAAATCCACAAATCTCACCTACAGATTCAAAGTAAGAGAGGTTAAAACTGGTCCAAATTGTGACACGTTTTTAAAATAAATGACCGAATATTTTGCAGCCAAGGGTTTGTGAGGGTCTGTGGACAAAGCATGAGCGCTGTGCTTTAAAATGGGTGATTTCTGGGAACATTTGTAAAAAGAAGCACACGTCTGCCTTCCAAGCAACTTGTTTACTTTGCATCCATTCATGCAGGAATACAAAAGAGAAAAAGAGAAATGTAGACAGGCATTTCACAGGAGTACTTGAGATAGCTCTAGGGTAAGAACAGGTCACATGAGAGCATACAGCCAAGGCCACTGGTAGTATCCTCTATGCCAAGCTACTGGGAAGAGCTAGGCAGCTTGTTTATTTTGACCAGAGCAAAAGGTTAAAGTGCACAGTTACAAGTCGAAGGATGAAAAAGCTTCATGTACAGGTTCAGCACCAAAATTACAGAAATTCTGTCAACAAATCAAAGAACAAAGTCTTCCTGTGCAATGTACCTGGCTATAATTAGGGAATCAAAATAAACTACTGAATGAGAAAGGTAGAAATACCAACTTCTCAGGCATCCATTTCAACAGCTATTTCTAACACAGCAAATATGTTAGTTAAGGAAGCTCAAACATGGAATGTAAGCTTTCCTTTGCATTCAAACTCTTCATGATAACAAACTTGTAAGAGAAGTCCCCGGCACATCATTTTAAAACACATCTAAGCCTAAGGTAACACAGGAAGACCTTTTGCTGGCACAGCTGGGTCAGTCTGTCAGCAGGTGATGTGGAGTGAGCCTGGCACACCTAGCTGTGCTAACAAAAGCCACTCAATAAACAGTTTCATCACCTACACTATGTTTTTACTTGTATCACTTACTATGTTTTGAAGGTGATTTTCTTGCATCAACATAAAACACTATTTTGCTACTATAGTTGCAATGGTATCATAATACCAAGAGTGCTCTCCTACTGTAAACGTGCCAAGATGCATTAAAAAAAGAAAAAAAAGTATTTGACTCTGATTTTAAACTACTGGAGTAGGTACTGAAGGAAGTGTACAACAGGGAAGGTGTTAAAATGCTTTGGCAGTTAAAAATTACTTTGCAAAGCACATGAAAAAACCTAAGATGTCCCCAAGAAATAAGCTATTGGTGAAAACAGCAGAAAATGCTCCTTTCGCCAAAACCAGCTCCTTCAGTGTCCACACAACATATAATAATCCCAAATGGTTCAAATGGATGTCTGATTTACAGATATTTCTAACCAAGGGCTTGGTTACAGAACAGATTTTAATCAATATATTTTAAAATAGGAAAAACAACAACTGGGAGAATAAATGGTACAAAAGAGCATGACAGGATCTTCTGTTTAAGTGCTGAATCCCCATTTCATAACCAGTTAGTAGGTTAATATTCATAAAAGGGATAGAAAGAACCCTTTATCACCTTCTTTGGTGACTGTCACCTCAAAACTCTCTAAAGGGAGAAAAGATAAACCCAAGTCAGTAACAGGAAAGATTGAAAGGGAGCAAATAAGGAAAAGGCAAAGATGCACACACTACACAGAAAAGCTTTGGGAAAATCGTGTTCTAAAACTCCAGTGGTGATTTGCTGTTATTTGTTACAATTTTAGTTTTAGTTCTGTTATATATGATTTAACCTTTTAAGTCCAGGTTGTCATGTGTAGAATTTTGAAGTATTTAGTATGTTTATCAAAAGGGTTTTTTCTTCTTGTAATTTTCTTTTTTTAATAACACCATCTGCTAAACAAAAGATATTTTCAAAATTCCATGTTGATGAAGAACTATTTGTAAGATAGAATTTTCATCAGAATTTATTGTGCTATTCTATTTGAAGAAGACATGGTAAATAAGTTAAACAAACTTTTATCTATGAAACTACCATATTTCTACAATTAAGAAACTTCATATTCTCCTTCTGAGTTCCATTAAAAAAAATACTGAAGTAGTCATGGGCTATTTGTGTTTCCACATAAACTCTTATTGGCCTAGGTTGTGTAACACCTACATTTGCAAGATATTTAATACATTATGACTGTGATAGGCACATCTGCAATGGTTTCACAGTTTAAATGGAAAGCCAGTTAACTCTGTTCTTCAATCCTCTTGAAATCATAATCTATTAATCCCCCAAACTACCACCTTTACATATCATTTGACATATCATTTTTTCCAGATTGTTGACATCTTTGACCTGAATTAAAAACACTTCTAGCAGATTTCCTATTAATTCTTAAAAATTCCAAACAACTTGCAGTAACCGAGTTGTTCAAATCTACTCTCCAGTGGCCTTAACAAGAGATGAGGCACTAAAGTTACAGAGAAATATTTTTCTTAGAAAGGCAAATTTACAGATAAATATTGAAGCAGAAATTTAAGGGAAAATACTTTACAACATGCCACAATTTGTAGACCATTTTAAAATGAGCCAGTTTCTCTCTAGAAATTCCTCCCTGAAACTCACTTCAGGTAATCCCTAGATTTATAATCAGCTCTTTATTTTAATGCACCAAGTATGCTGCCTCTTGTGGCACCCACATCATTTATTTCAGTCTATTCTTACACAGGATATAAATATAAACTTGTTTTTTAATATGTTTTGGCAATAGGATCATTCAACAAAATGTTACACTGCTTGAATTCATGGCTGACACCACTGATGAGCCAACAGCAACATTCCAACTGCAATTCTTAAAATATTCCACATCTCTTACTCCCCAAAGTCACCTTCCTGCCCCCTTCCAAGAACTCTAACCTTGAGAATCAGGCATTGGGTGTGAAACATTAAGATTACAGGAAAAAAATAAACAGAAGGGAACATTAAAGCAGAAAGTCTGATAAGGGAGAGAAGAGAGAGAAGTGTATTAATGTTGCAATTACCTGTTTGTGAGAAAGGGAGACTATTTAAAACTGGTCCGTTCTCTATCATCTGGAGGGACCTTTAACCCTGGCAACAGACACCTGTTTGGCTGCTAGGAAGTTCAGGCATTATATTTTTGGCTTCTGAGCATAAGACATAAACAGCCCCTCCAATAAATATCCATGTGTCTCCAGGTGCTTTTTAAGGTGTAAAGCTTCTGTTCGAGTTGCACTGTAACTCAACTCCTGCCAAATGATTCCCAAACAATAACAATTGTATTTTCCACTTCACACTATTAAGATTAACAAATGCCCTTTTATTACTACATAGACAAGCTGCTTGTGACTGAAAAGGTTATAATGCATAAAACCTATAGTGTTACTGATAGTGTTCTAAATCAGCAAATGCAGAGCTCCCTACCCTATCAGACTTTTCAAGAACGCCTCTTCAAAGTTACTCTAAAATGAAAAGAAGCAAAAAGGAGTCATTCTCAGAAGTACAAACTATTTCAATTATTGAAGCTCCCCCTCCTTTCTCAAAAATACATCACAAACTGCTACAGAGCTTTTTCAAGACAATTTACAGATTAATATTCCCATACACAGGCGATATTAATTTTCACCTCCATTACAAAATGCCTATATACATTTGCGTAAGGCTCTTCTGCGATTACAGAATTCATGGCAGTGCATTCTTTTCATTGCCATTTGGTAAGCCTGGTCCCATACCATCCTCCCTACTCATTCATCCAATGTTCTATGTGCTTGGTGCTTTTCCTCATTTCATTCTGAAGCTGAGATGCTTTACTGAAACAAACCTCTACCTCTCCTAATCTTGACTTGACATTCTTCAAACTTTGGAATCAGCTATCCCTCTACATTTCCATTCCCCAGGAGAGGAAGCACATTCTCCCAGCTCTAACCGAGCAGCAGTCTACATGAAGGTCATGGAAAGCCTTCAGGAAAGCTTCCCATTTCAATACCTTTAGAATGTCTCCTGAACAAGTATTTCTTAGCATCATATAAAACTCTTAAAAACAACCAATTTTGAATTTCACAAGAACTCCCTTTAAGCTTGTATTTGTATGCATGATAGGTACAAAACATCACTTCATGCCTTAAATTTGATGGAAAATGGCTGAAATACTACTGCAACAAAACTTCCCTTAGGTTTGCCAACCGCCTGTGCAACATATTGGTTGTACACTCACTGAATCACTCCCTGGATGTGACAAGATCAAAATCTTTATGTTTGATTACACAGCATCATTCATCTTCTCCACATCTCACTGCTTTCTCCCCATCATCCGGCTGAGCACTGCATTACACACAGACAGGATGTCAGCACAGCTCCCTGCCCTAAACAAACACAGCCTCAGCACTGGCCCACAGCTACGTGGGAACCCCACACACCTCTGGAGAGAAGCTGGCAGGAAGGATTAATGGAGTTTTGGTTTGTTATTGTTTTTCTTTTAAAGAATGCATACAGATTCTGCAAGATCATTTTCAAAGCTCTATGCATATGCATACTCCAAGGCAAGAAATTCCTAACCCCCACAAAAATACCTCTTGCATTCAATATTAGTAAAGGGGAAAATAAAGTATTGTGGCTGAGAAGTGGTTTTCTCTAGGGGTGGGGAAGAGATGAAAACCTTATTACAGACACATCAGAAAAACCAAGGAAACATTTCCTTCCACAAGGGAAACATTTCAAGCACCCTGTTAGCAAGACCCTGCATTACCTTCATCACAAAACACATTCAGTGATGCAAAGTGATGTTTGTTTCAAATGCAATAAAAATTCGGTTTCTTTTTGCATACTGAAGGAGAAATCCATATTGAGAGCTTCAGACATTTTATTCATGTCCAAAATCAGTTTAATGTACAATAGAAATTTTTTCAGCAAAACCATTTCGGATCAAATTCCAACATGGCTTGCTTTGAAATGCAGAAAAATTTCTCAGAGGAAGAAGACTGGTCATTGTCTTCTCAAGCAGATCTGTAACAATCATGGTACAAAAGGACTGGTTCCACAGGGACTCTACACTTGGTGCAGTATGACAAGACAACCTGGCACATCTCTATTCCAACTCTGTTTTCAAAAGTGTGTTGTTTCAGATGTAAAACCTTATAAAATTCCCTAGAAATAAATGTCTATATTACCCTACTTATTTTTGCATGCCTTAATTTAAGGAGTCTACCCACAGCACAGAGTGAGCAAAGCAGTAAAATATTACTTTTATTTGCCTCACATTATAGGAGAAAATTTAAATGCACCAGTTTCAGGATGCTCAAAATCAAAATAAAGGAGAAAGCTCTATTTAAAGTATTTTATACCTGCAGACAGTTCAAAAGTTTCACAGCTCAGCTAGGGGGAACAGTTAATTAAAATACTCAACCTTTGAAAGTAGGAATAAATTTGATTTATAAGTAGGAATACATTAGTCAGGGCTGAAGCAGCCATTTAATCCTGAAAATGCTTTGTTTTGCTGTGAAAACATGTCACTGATCTAATGGGCTCCTTGCACTTAAACACCCACATAGATGCTGCTGGACAACAAGGCTATTCTCCATTCCAGAACACAACTACAGCACCACCAGCTAGAACTGATAATGCTGATTCAACACATCTCCCACATTTGGTGTCCTCAAGGACAGATTCAAGTATTGTTCCATCTAATGGCAGACAAATACTTTTGTAGATTCCCACAGCACAGTCATTCAGAATTTACACAATTCAAACCCAACAGGGTCATATTGAGGAAAATTTCTTTACTATGTTAGTGTGTTATGCTCAGAATTTAAGGTAACTATTTAGAATCCACTGCTCTGCTGCTACTTAAGAATTGTTAGGTTTTGAATGCCAAAATATATTATGTTTAGACAAAAGTTAAACAAAACCATTTTCCAGTTAGTAAAAATGTTCATTAAATGAAAGCAGGTTTATACCATTTAGACTAACACAATGGAAAAGCAGTCTTGTTTGCAGAGATGCTTTCACATTGAATTTTCCTCTGCAAATCTGACAGTCTATTTGAAGACATCTGCTGGTTCTTTCTTAAAGCATCATGATATCCAGCACTCAAAAAACTTTACTATCCACCAAGAGGTATAAAATTGCCATGTTCAGAATCTGTTCAATGCTGTCTAACTACCAGTGCCTACATTTAAAGCACTTAAAAACTGTGAGAGATGACTCATATTCTCCTAATCTCCCAGTACACAAGCCAGCCTTCCTATATCTCTTTTTACTTAACAGATTTTGTATCCCAACACAAGTGTCTTCATCTGGAAATGAAAAGGGTTTTTTGTTCATAGACATCAGATTTATTTCCAGTTAGGATCCCTTAAGAGCCTCTGCCATGAATATCCAACACATGAGAAAGTCTGAGTTTCAGAGGTTTTCCATTATCTCTGAACTTCCTGTATTTGTAAGGCAGCCTTGGAGATAATTACAGCCTTATGATAATGCAACAAAACTGTGACTTTAAGGACCATTTTAAGAAACTGTGATTGAGTTGCTGTAATACTGTAGCACACAATTCAGCCAGCATGCTGAACATCTCCAACGGCCATTTCAATGGCTGTTAATTCAATTACTTTCTTTTTCTATCACCTTCTCCTTGAAGCCAGGCTAAAAAACATTCCCAAAACTGGCTTATGCCACATCCCCTAGGTATTTTACTAGGTTTCTTAACTCTAAAATTTTACTTAACCAAGTAGACTTCTACAAGTATCTAATTTAAGCTTGTGTTATCTGCTACAACTGACTTAAAAACCTGCAGATGCCTGCTGCTATTATTCAAACACGATTTTTAATATTTTTGTGAAGCCAAAAATGTACTTTCCATAACACTGTGTCCAATCATGAATACAGTATTCTTAAACAGTAGTTTCCAGAAAAAAAAAAAACAAACACTGCATGGGTTTATAAAAAACCTATCAACTGTCAGTCCTATGTTGAAAGCGAACAATTAGCTGAAAGTGAACATTTTGCAAGTGGCTTGTGTATCATTCCCTATGTTCTTTACCAGAAGAGGAAAAGCCTTTTCTTCAGGTCAAAGTGGGTTGTCCACTTTTTTAAAATACCCCAGAACTACTAAGCAAGTTATCACAGAAAATCTAGATTTCTACAGGAATTTTCTGTCTAACTACTGCACAGAAGAAATGTAATCTTAATTCTACTAATTACTGTTTTCAATCTATTAAGACACAAATCAAAAACACTAAGAAAAGCAAAAGCACTGCTCAGAATTCTAAGAAAATATTTGTTTCAGAACTCCTAGACTGAATGCTGTGAAATGTGGAATCCAGAGGACCCAAGAAAAGGTTAAACACAAGGAGGGGAAAAAAATGTTCAGAAAAATTAACACACACACATGAAATTGAAAGCAGCATGGAATATCAGCAGTCTGGTTTGGATTTCTGGATACAGCTGTACATTTATGGCTGTTAATATGAAATAAAACTCTGGTTCATGCACAAACACTTTCTAGGGTCTAAAAGCTTGGAAACATTATGCTACTGTTAGGGAAAACACACTAAATAACACACAGCATTTGTCATCAAGAAGGCTCTTACACTTCCTAAAGAAATGTAGATTAATTCATTACCTGCAAAACGCAGAGGTGCATCCTTGTCCAGGGCTATTAGAGGAGGGTCCAAGAGCACCGTGTTGTCATTTTCTGTAACTATACCATGATAGGTTGTTTCAATCCATGGCTTATGCTTGTTAACTGAAAGGAAACAAAGTACAAAGTCAAAACACTTGAAACCCACAGCTTGTTTTAAAAATACTTGATAACACTGTTTTATTCCTCTTTCATTTTTCTAAATCTGAATGAGCATTTTACTAAATTAGAAAATCTCAGACAAAAGAGTTCAGTGTCCCTGTAGGCCTTCCAAAAGTAACTCAGAGAATCTAAATTAGTCTCTTAACTATACTGGGATAGAAGATACCCCCGAAGAGCAATTAAAAAATACCTTGTAACAGAGATGGGGAACCACTGCCACCAGTGCCAAGTGTAACACCAGAGAAACCTCTATTCAGCACTACATGAAGCAAGACCAGCCAATATGAAGCACAAAGGTTTGGGTACACTCTACTACTCTCCAACTTGGAAAACTTGGGATGCAGTTGGTGGACTGTTCTTCAGAATGTAAAGGCTTTTTTTTCAGCATTTTGTCCTGCATGGGGTTTTTTAATTATTATTATTTTAAAAACTAAACACAAGTGTAACACCAGAGAAACCTCTATTCAGCACTACATGAAGCAAGACCAGCCAATATGAAGCACAAAGGTTTGGGTACACTCTACTACTCTCCAACTTGGAAAACTTGGGATGCAGTTGGTGGACTGTTCTTCAGAATGTAAAGGCTTTTTTTTCAGCATTTTGTCCTGCATGGGGTTTTTTAATTATTATTATTTAAAAAACTAAAAAAAAAAAAAAAAAACCCACAACAAAACAGTGACAAAAGGACATTTAAACAAATGACTAAACCTAGAGGTAGAGACCTCATCCAGGAAACTGTAACAATCTCCCAACATGCTTTCATCTGTAATCCTCTCCTGGTTAGTAGCATCAAACTGCTAGACAGGATATAGTATCTTCATACATAATAATGTAGCAAGAGAGAACTCACAACAAACTATTTGAATGCAAACAGAGTTTAATTACCACCATGTGGTTTCAGTCAATAAGGCAACACTACTATCTTTATTGCCTCAATCCACTGGCAGGGGCATGTTTTCAATATTCAGCATACCAAATAGACAGCTAAGTGTCAACCACATTGTTCTGTCTCCCCAGAGAACACTTCTGCAGCACCCTCCAAAGTACGTGGCACTTTAGAACAAACTTTGTCAGGGTCCAAGAGACTAACACATCATTCCTCCCTCAGAGGGTCTGCATCAGTAACTGCCCCAGTGAGAGCTTCCAATTGAAACGTGTCAATTCATATCCGGTCTGAAGAGAAGTGTTTCACTAATCCATGGCTGGTGGGAGAATAAGAAGGACACACGTGTATTTTTCTGTCAGTGCATCTGGGGCAGTTACAGCTCGACTGAACACCCTTTCACTCATTCATATTTGTCTTTGCAAGGACTTAGTATAAATTACTAGAACAGATCTCTGCCAGGAAAGACTCCATCTCCTTTCTAATGTTTCTGAATATAATTAATTCTTTTTTTTTTTTTTTTTTTTTTAATAAGCATTAAGAAACCTTCTTCGAATTTAGCAACCCACAGGAAATTCCACTACTGTAGGGTAGAGAGTTCTATAAAAGGCTGAAGTACTATATCCACATATGAACAGAATTAGGAGTATGCTAAGCATCTGCAGAGTCTAGTAAACCGTCAAACAACTGTCCCAGTTAAAAGCAAACTCATGTCCTTTTATTGTGCTCTAGACAATAAAATCATAAAGCTTAAACCCCTTTGTGTTTAGTAAGGCTAAAACATCACCAGATTTTAAAACATAAAGCTTAAATCCCTTTGTGTTTATGAAGGCTACACATCACTGGATTTTAAAACATTCACCAAACTTACTGCTGAATATCCAGGAAAGGCCTGTTATCCATATTTGTGATCAACTGACTCCAGCATAACCACATACTGCAAGAAATTCTCAAGCTAGCATATGAGGCACAGCTTATGAGCAATACATTACTGCTTCCCCTGAACCAACTGCAGAATTGAACCAAGTATTCTTCTGATCTCAGTTGGCCTAAATATTATTAAATGTTGGACTGAAAATGATCACATTTTTCCCCTCTTTACTTGTCACAAAATTCCTGGTATCTACAGAGAAAGTTGTTCAAAGCCATACTGTTCCTTTCAAACCAAAACAGTCGGCCTGTTCCAAGCCTGACACTAACAAAGTGCCCTGAGCTGTTAATCTCTTGCCATTTAACTGGGATAAACTACACTGGTTTCCTTGAAATACAATATTCACACTATTTGTAAGCGCCTCAACTGGAATCTATTGTAAATCCCAACCAGCATTTAATCTAGTCAAGTGGGGGAAGCTACCGTGGAACAACACAGCAGGCTGACTTCTACATATTTTTTAGGGGCCAAATAAATGTACAGGACAGCCAAGCATACCTCTGTTTGCAGGGAGCAAAACTGAAATGTAAAGCTCGTGCCACAGCCTTGATGGCTGCCGAGCAGTGACTGAACGTGTGTCTGCAAGGTGAGCACCAGCCACCTGTCCAACTCAGTTTATCTAAAGATAATCTCTGCTAAGCCAGAGGAGGAAAGGGAACTGGTGCCTGATGTGATGTGTGCCTTGAACACAGGTTTTAAAAATTCCATTTGCTCTAGGTCTATTTCCCATGAAACTGAGCAGACCAACTTGTACAAATACTGAGTGGTACTACTTTCTGTTCTGCAGAGAAGGAACACACATGCAAGAAAGGATGCTCCACCAAAGCAGGAGCTGATGCTGCAGAATGCAATCCCTCTGATCAACTAGCAGCAATTTTTTCCTGCTATTTAAAAGAATTAATGAATGGAAATTAATATGTGGGGAGGACAATGGGGTCTAGGACTAGTATGGAAACTTCAATCAAAAGCTATTATCTTAAGACAATCAGAATTAATTAAGTTCCAGTATTTGAATGCAAACATTAAAATTAACTTAGAGAGTCCTGAGTACTTCAGTTATCTTCTTACCAGTGGTCTGACATTCATTTGACTTCAATAGAACCTGGCACCTACATAACTGAAGATTTAGACACATCACAACAAGAAAGGGCTGTAGTTGAAAATATATTTTCTTCTGGATAACTAATTCTAACATATAGCAAGTGTTGTTAGCAATGCTATATATCTTTACAACTACATCAGGACAATTTATGTCTAAACAAATTTTAAGAATTAACTAGTAAAACATATTGAACAAACTCAATAACAAGAACTGGAGTATGAAAGCTAAATGTTCAATCCAGTGATGGCAGCTAAAGTATTCATTTTCTAAATCCATCTTTGAGAATTCATAAAAAATCCAGAGACTACATAAAAAGTTATATTCTCTGTCAGTTCAAATGAACTGCACTCAATTAACTGAGTAAACAGTCCTTTACCCCTGCTCTGAAGGTACATCTTCTAATTTTCTTCCTCTTGATATAAGACAATAAAGTACGCCTTTCAGTGACACAGTAAAAACTCTGAAGCATATCTTGCCTTGAATATTCATAATTTAGTACTGTTCTGATGCAATTTCAAGCAATATCATTAAAATAATAAGCTTGTGTAGTACATAACCATAGAAAAAATATAGCTCGGCCAAGAAGGAAGTATCTACATGATAAAATACACCTTCTCCACCCTGAAAGTAAAGTTGAATAAGAAAGGGTGTAGCATGGCCCAATTCTAATGTGTGTTCTGCTCCTGCCCTAGGCTCCCCAGCCTGTAATCCAGACCTGTGCCTCTATTTTCCATTAGAAAAAAGAGAGGATCAAGTTTGTATAGAAACAACTTGCAATTTATCAGTAGTAATTAAAAGATTTAATTTACTTGTTTAACTGGGTCTTCTCATGCCTAGAATTTTATCAAAAATCATCTGATAACCAAGTAAATAGAACTGAACATAAGTTTAGCTCAAATGCTGAGTTTCTTGACAGGATGGTACTTTCCTTATAGTAGTAGTATGTATCCTTGTAGTATGGGTTTCCAAGACAAACTATGAGTTTCTTGACAGGATGGTACTTTCCTTATCTGTAGTATGGGTTTCCAAGACAAACTTCAATTTCCATTACTGGGACATGAAAGCTGTAAGGTGTAACAAAATATAGGGGGATGGATCCAGACTAGGAGAGGTATTAAGTTAAGGGCATGGACATCCACTAACACTAACCTCTACAGATCCTGGTTGAAAGAAAATCAGGTGGTTGAAATTTATGCCACAATTTTGGATCTCTATCTTGGGTTCTTGGCCTCAGATAAGCACTTGTAATTTGTGCCCTGGAAACTCAACTGTCTTTCAACAGGAGCACAAGGTAATATTCATAAATTGTCAGGTGCCTACAGTTTGAGCCTGTACAATTAAAACTAATTATCCAAACACCATATTCAAACTAATGGCTGTAGGAATTCAACAGGTTTTATTAAATTACATTTTGCCTAGGGAAAAATCTCTGGTTTATCACCACTTAAAGAGTTTCCTCTTTGACAATGAGCCAGTTGCCTAAATCTGATTTTAGCTGTACAGAAATACGTGGAAGTTTTGCTACAAGCTCAAAAATAAGGTACATGCAAATGACTGATTAGAAGCCAGCTGCATTTTTTATCATCCACAACTGCAGCAGAAGAAATATTCAGAGTATCAGAGTCCTTAGAGAGTATACTGCCTGAATTTCAATTAGGACAAAAGTTTGGCAGGGAAAACAGAAAAAAAACACACCAAAAAACCCAATACAAAACAGTCTATATAGGACTAAGGCAAAAAAGCATGAATTTTTAAAGTGAAATTTCAAATGTTTTAAACCAAACAGAACACTGAAATACTGTAAACATAACTTAAATGTTGCCAATTATAGTGCAAGAATAGATATCACTTAGTTTCTAACTATTGTAATATTTATGAACTTCACTCCTTGAAAGGGAATCTTATTTATAAATACAGCAAACATCATCTCAGTACAGCAGGCACTTCTGGCTCTACTTGTCTCCATTTAAAAACAGGGAAGCCAACAGGGAGCAGTAGCAGCAACTTGTTTTCAATCTGAGTACAAAGAAAGTGAGAGGAGACTATCGACAAAGGACAGACAGTTCTTCAAAGGCACTGAGGTTCCTAATAGTCCTTTGTAAAGGCTCCTAAGGAGGTTTAGTGCCTACTGAAGCCAATGTGAGTCAGTCAGTGCAAATCAAATAAATCAGAGCACAAAACAAGATTTATTTAAGACCAAGGCTTCCGACTTACTAAACTCTCCTATATTTTGAGGTATCACTTCTGTCTCTGACAATAATGATAATGCTACAAGATGTATGGCCCTTAATATCATAAACAAAATTTGAGAGACAGCTCTGAATACAACTAAATAAAATGAGAAAGCTCAGAAAAATGGCAATAAGTGCTTTAGTTCAGAAAACATCAATGACTGCAGAAGCTTTTTTCTCTGCTGCAGAACAGTTTCATACCCATAAGCCACTAAGCTATTAGATACTAAGATTTTTCATGGCACAAAATTCTTTACCCAGAATTCTAATTTAATCTGTTTGAGATGAGATGTTCACACTACGCTTCCCTGTGGCACGATCTGGATTTAACTTCAAGCCTTCTAACTTCCACGAGAAATGGAAATTCGTGAGCCTAGCTTCTCTCCTCCTTCCTAAAATCTCTCTGCAATAATCTGAAACTGGTCATTTCAAGCCTGCAGAAACATTTAACACCTCAAACCGAAGATACACTTACAAGTCTAGAAAAGTTTCTGTTGATAAATTTTCCTGATAACTTGGCACAGACAGCACAACCTGCAGTCTTATAATATGGGAGAAGGCAACTGGCACAACAGGATTCCAAACACACCAAGTAAATCATGCTTGTCCAGACCACCTCTCCTCCATTTCAATTTCCAGAGGATTGTATTATTTTACTTAATATATACAGAGAAAGAGATTAAAACTGTTTAAATGAACAGATGGCTGTATATTATGCTTCCACACGCAAGTCAGAAAGATCAAGCACTGGTTAATTCTGAATCGTCTTGGTGGTCTTTTACTTTCCTAACACCTTAGAGGGAAAAAAAAAAAGGCAAAAAAACCCAACCGCCCCATAATTATCCAAATTGTTCCTTCATAATACTTTGGGGCAGTCTTAAATTTTCATGGCTCTAAAAAGGAGAGAGAAACCCAACCACCAGTCCTATATTACAAAGGTTGTTCCTGTGTCAAAGAAGCACCTGCAGTAAGACCATGGCACTGAGAAAGTGGTTTGGATTTAAAATATTTGTAGCACCACATAACTTCCTGAAATAATCATAGATCAGGCAAGCTTCCTCAAAATCAATATCCTTCCTAAATTACAGTAAGTTGGAATGGAACCAAGCAAGAGAGGCCTATTGCTCTATCTGGTCAGTAACTATGGAAGAAGCAGCCATTAGACACACTGTCTTCTCATCTGAAAACTCACTCTATTCCACTCCCTGTTCAGTTCTGTTCATAAATAACCGACTGCTTCACTCTGACAAACACTATTTGAATGCATTGCTAACTAGTGCTTTTCCATTGCAACATCAGTCCAATGAGCTTAGAAGTATATGGGTCAATTTGATCAATTACATTATAAACTCAGTTAAATTCAGTTCTACATCAGCTGGACAGGAATATGCCTCTTTAGAAGCTGAAACCACACTTTGCAGCCCTTAGAAGTACAGGAAAGATGGTAGGTCAGCTAGCTCAGACCTAATTTCTGTGTAGGATCACATCCTCCAAAGCCTATTTTTATTTGTTTCCATCATGACTAAAGAAAACACCTTTCACTCCCATGATCCAACCACAGGAATACACAGGACTGGAGAACGGAACTCGCCACTCTGGTGTAACCTTTGCAGTCCACTTCTGCACGTTACTGAATCTAATGCAGTTTTCACCACTTAAATCTTAGCCACCTCAGTAATAATGACTTTTACAGTCACAGATGAAAACAATTAAGGTGTACTTGGCAAAAAGAAAAAAAATTTAATTGACAATGCAGCACAAAACTGAAAGTTTACCATACATGTTTCTCCTACCAACAGGAAAATGATTCTGAGTTGCCTCAGCAGCTTTCCAGGTGTTCTGCTACTTGTAGTTAAATAAATCCTCCCTTAACATTATTAACAGGCCTACCTAGAATAGCCAAAATATCTCAAGAACTAAGGTAACAGGATATACTAAAGCCAAACCAGACCTCTCACTGTAACTCAGTTACGTGTGATGACGTCCAGCAGCTCTGTAGACTGGACTGAAAACAAGTCTCCAACAGACTGCAGAAGAGCTCACTAAAAGAGCTGTCCTGTGTCTCACTACCTAGATTTGCCATTCATTTCCAAGTATCTATTAGCATTCTTTGAAAATGGTTTTTGATCTTTGCTTTATTCATAATTTCAAATGATGGGAAAACCTAGCAATTCAATAGAATTGTGCTTCTGTATTGGTGTGGTAAGCATTACATTTAATGGTCTCCAGAACACTAGTGCATAGGTTGTACTTAAGAGACCTTGTACAGGTAAATTATGGTCACCATCTAAACAGCTGGCAGACTTCTTTACTACAGCAGCAGCTTCTTGATCATATGTAGGGAAACCGCAGCAAGATGTGTCCTTAATGAGTTGTTTTTAAGATCAGGAACTCTTCAACGGACTTGCAAGCCATTTTAAAGCCACACTTCTAATCTACATTCAAATTAAATGCAAGATCTCAAATGTCACTGTATGATCTGCTAAATCTTGCAGAGATGGCACCCTCGATTCAAGGAGTAACCTTCAGGCACAGAAGCGCTTGCAAACCTCTTACCGAGACCTGCTCAGGAGACCTGCAATGCGTATGCTTTTACTCCACAAGATCAATCAATAGCCACAAGGCCGATGTTTAAAAACGCCATATCGCTTAAGGTTTGGCCAAGCTCTGTGCCCTCGCCAACAACCACACGAGTATTCTTTACATAAGCCTGAAGGCCGGGCTCCCCTCGGGCCCTCGGAGGTGTTTTATTTCCCCTTCCCATCCCTCTGGCTGTCACGGCTCTCTCAGGAGCCCAGCGCTCTCAGCACGGCCATTCCCGCCTCACACAGACGCGGCCCCAAGCCCCGAGGTGCGGGCGGGCGGTGCGGGTCTCCGTGTC